TGTAAACTTATTCGAACAAATTCCCCATGTATATTGGACTCGAATAGAAAAGCTTGCCTCTGGGTTTCAGCTGGCTAGCAAGACTTCTCCTGGTTTCTATCCATTAATATCATGTTAAGGCATCGGCATTAAAGCTAACCACTGCCGCCGAGAGGTTTTTTAGCCTCCAGTAATCTGTGAACCACAAAATACCTCTATCTCAAAACAATAGTTTGGGTCCTCTCCTATAAAAATGGGCATTTCCTCACGCTTATTGTTTATTGTTGTCACCAACTCCACCCATTCAGCTTCCCTCTTCACTCATCTGTATTCCTACTCCAGTCTTGTTGGCTTAACGTACGTTCTTGTTTACTATCCGTTCAGAACATTTCCATAATATCGAGTCTGAATATTTCCTTTGGCGTTGGGGATGTGAAGGGCTTTATTCATGTTCCTTTAGAATTCATCAGGTGCTTGGGTTCTCTATTAGCGACTCTGTTGTCTTATTTCTATCAATAGCTTAGCTTCTGGAAGCTAAGGCTTTCAATTCAGTATCCTCTCATTTACTAGCTAACACTTTCATCTGAAAGGTTCTTTTAGAGATCACCCTCATTCATGCATTCATTCATTAATGACCTATTTGTGGAAGAAAGTTGAAATTTCACCCCTTCATCGTCTGAGCATGCTTCTCTCTTAACATAGTGCTGGGTGTAACATATACTTTCCATTAAAAACGAGCAACTTCGAATCACTCTCAAGTTCTCCCTGATAGGAATGCATGCACAGTTATATTAATGAGTACGAAGTTTACCATTAGAACCTGAAGCCATTGATTGCTGTATATACTTTAAAGTGGCTACGTATTGTTTGATCAGTAATGTGCATTTACTACCGAGTGTTTAATTCCATTACCCCACATGAGCAATCAATCATGCTCAAATTCCTCTCAATTAGTTTTTTTTTTCCCTTTCTTTTTCAAAAACCATTCAACTACTTAGAAAAGTTATATGTTTTATTTTCATTGTTAAATGGCCTAAATGTTGAGTTTAAGAGTACTTCGTAGCTTTAAACTTAGCATATGTGGAAATGTTGAGGGATATATGGACATGAAAAGACATGTAAATGTCGAATATAGACAAGTCATAATGTTCAAGTTATCTTATTTTTCTCCCTCATGCTCTTTTATTATTGAAAAGATTTTCTAATTGGACTTTTGACTTGCAGTTATTTGCTTGAGCTTTTGGGCAGAAGTGCACTATAACTCAATATATCCTGAAGGAGGTGAGCTCTCACTATCTTTAGTTTGATAATTGACTATTTCATTTACTTCTTTGTCAACGGCAATGGGACTCTTAAATTGTTGGATCCTTCTGTACCTTTCATTGACCATATGATAATTAATCCGTCAAGTATCAGATGTGTTTAGTCTTTATGTGAATTTCATCAGAACTGGGGGGCTTGATGAGATCTTTTTGCCCCTTCTTTCCTGAAGTATTGTCTTTCATTAGTTCTATGTTTATGCCTAATATCTTGCTCAGCACGATTGTATGATATTTCAAAGTCTTAAAGCGATTCTTGTGTGAATAAACTGACATTTGTCACGATTCAAGAAGGAACTCATTGGCTTGTGATGAAGCCGGCAAGATGCGCTGCTTTAACATCTTCCAGCACGTCTTACATAATTATCCTCATAATCTTGTCAACTAAATGGTATCCTTATTAGAGATTACCTCGGAAAGGCACTTTTTCCATTTGACATAGGGTGAAACGATCATTATCTAACGGTGGTTGATGAGGTTTCACTGAAAACTAAATTCCTTAATTTAGCATGAAAAACAAGCTTTATGATTCCTTAGTACTCTCCCCTTCCCCTCTCCTTGCCTCCCTAGTATTCAGAAACGGCCAATCTACGAAGTTTTTAATTGTTGCTGGTATTTGTTATCTGTATGGAAATTTGATTCCTTCTCGTGCACACTGTTTGTAAAGCCAATAGAACCTTTTGCATTATATTTGGTTTTCTCCAGATGTACCCATGTTTGAGACGAGGAACAATAGATGGTGGATGCTTCAAAACGAGCATCTGGAATGACGGAACAATTAGCAATTTTCAATATTGCTAATCACAGAAAGTTGTATGGATACATCAATCCTAATTGGATCCGTAAGAGTTCAGCATCTAATTGCTCTTACTCGCTAGGTTTCTTTCCCCTGCGGGAAAAATTATGTGAAATACAGAAATGCCGCCATGCTTTTTGATTAATGTGTGCATCTCTAACATTTGCCTGGAATATTTTGTTTTCCCCCTCATTTTTTGGGGTTCTAGTAACTTCAATTGTAATCTCGCACTTTGTTTTCAAGTGCTTTGAGTAAATGCTAATTATGTTATGCTATTTTCTGCTTCCATTTGCTCCAAGTTTCCGTTCATTATGTGTAGTGCAGGCTATTTCTCTGCCTCTCTTACCTACTCTCTTTGATGTTCCCGTTCATTAAGTTTTCCTCTCCTCAAACTTCCTTTTAGACAACAAGAAGCTATTATTTGCGCTCTTGTACAGCTCCCATGACAAGAATGGTCTCATTTTAGCCTCTCCTTCAGGTGTATGTGGGTCAATTTGACTCCGCAAAATAGGTCCCCATGTGATCCATTGGCAGAAACATATATAACATTTTAGGGTTTGTTTGAAAAATGGGTTTATCATTGAGTCGTTATGGAAAAGGACACCATACCCAAAAATTGATCCAATTATTAGCGGAGTAGGATTGAGAATGGTCACTTTTGGTGACAAGATATCAGGTGATGTGTTGATCATTGGTGATATTTCTGAAACAAAGAATCAGGAGCTACAAAAGCCCTAGCATTATGACGGCTTATTATGAAACCAGAGGCGTCTGCCCATGAATTGAGCTCTTTTCCATTGATGACAAAGTAAGAACAAAACAACCATTCTTTTTTTCTTTCGTTCTTTTTATTGTTCTTTTAATAGAAAATACTCTGTTCATACTTCATATTCATCAATGGTCCATTTAGAGATACCATTTATATAGATCACATTCCATAAACTGCCATTCATCTAAATCTCAGTCGTCGTCCTCGGCTTCTCTCTCGGAGTTTTCTGCTACTTCTTGAAGCGTGTTGATATGATGAGCAAAAAGTTCCATATCAAAATCCGAGACCAAGTCAAATTCATAATTTGGCAATGGTACCTGCTCATCAACAGTTGGGAATGCATAGTTGTTTCCATCAAAAGTTTTTGCTGTAGTAGTAGTAGTAGTAGATGAAGATGGATCAGTAGGCTTGCAGCCATGTAACTCTGGAGCAGCAGAGGCAATGTCTTTACCAGTTATAGCTATAATTGATGGCTCAGCCTTCTTCAACAGCCACTCTACAGTCTGCCCATCTGTTTTATTTCCAAGCTCGCGAGTTAGCTGAAAGACCCGAGCTGCACACAATGGAGGAAGGCGGATACGTCGATCGCGCCCCTGAACCTTGGCATGGCGATCTTTCAGAGCTTTGGAAGGGATGGGCTTAGACTCTGAGGCATTTGGTACACCTCTTGGGGAGTTAGATGTAGCCTTCTTGACTCTCATGTTTTTTGAACCCATGAATCCTTTTAGAGAAGTTTTCCCAAACACATGAGGATTCAATGTAATGTCCTTTTAGGGTTTATATAAATCTCCGTTGCATGCGCACGCACGTGCAAGCGTTTACGTTACCGAAAGCTTATAACGGTGTAATTAGTTGTTCATAACTTAGAAAATCAGGTGTTTTTGTGCAAATTTTTGGACTTTCCTTTTCAGAGATTTCGATTTCGATTAATGTATTACAAGAATTGAATTTCTTCTTGGCTTAATAATGTCATTGTAGTGGTGCATATCTGCATAATAAGCCCAAGTTTATTTTTTCTCAGGATTGAAAGTTGTATTGGTGTTAATACAAATTGATTAAATGATAGAAATGTAATTAATTAATTAAGGGAAATTGATTTGGTTGAGAGTACTTTGTTAGGCAGGTTGGTGATAGTAATGTTCTTACCAAAACTGGGTGGTAAGAAATGGAATGTGAGTTGTGCTGTGAAGGCTCTTTCTTGGCTCAAATCTACTCTCCAATATCAATCATTCACATGAAGAGTCAATTAGGGTTGTTTTGACTTGGAAACGGATGGTTCTAATTTGGTATTTTATATAGCTTTATATATATATGTCAACCTACGTTTGGATTCTTCCCTCATTAAATTTTCGTTCTAATCTTTTTAAGCTGCTACACGATTTCAACAAACTTCAACTTATGCTTAGCTGAGTGGTTAATACATCTACTCGTTTTCTCGAGGTCCAAAGCTCATATTCTATATTCTAGTCTTTTTGAATCGAGGTTTGGCTTGTACCATTCCAACAATTGGCGGGGAGTGAAGCAGTGAGTCTACCCTTCTCGAGCCTACTTAAATACAATATTCAAATGAGATGACCGACCTGAAAATAATCTATTAAGCTCAAACAAAGCTCATATTCTATATTCTAGTCTTTTTGAATCGAGGTTTGGCTTGTACCATTCCAACAATTGGCGGGGAGTGAAGCTGTGAGTCTACCCTTCTCGAGCCTACTTAAATACAATATTCAAATGAGATGACCGACCTGAAAATAATCTATTAAGCTCAAACAACTCTATTGCAAAAGACGATAGAAGACCGATACCGGAGTAATCCTGTTCGTTGGTCTTCTTTTTTTTTTTTTTTTTTTTTTTCATTTATTTGATTTTGAATAATTGAGGATTGGACTTGTTGTTTTGGGCTGAAATGGATTTCGTGGAAGGGAGCCAAAGGCCCAATAGGCCCATGTTTGTTAAATAAGGTGCAGGTTAGCAATACGAAAGCTCTGAAGGCTTAAATAGCGCCATGAGTGCGCACAGTACGGAATATTTCTTGTCAAAATCACATTTGGGCCGTATCGTAACAAAACTAATCCTGGAATAGCCTCAACGGTTCTGGAAGAAGAAGAATCTTCTGGAACGTCCAACCCAACAATAAAATCAAACCCTAAATTCATTCATTACGTTCATCCTTTTGCTTACACACCTTATCCCAAAACCCAGCGAGCTCTACCGGAACAAAAACCTCCGAGCTTTGCTACCGGAAAATGGCGTCTGCGAATGCAATTTCTTCCGCATCCATTCTTTGTTCTTCCCAGAAGGTACTGCTTCCACTGCTTTTCTCATTTCTTCCTCGGACTCTGGACTCTAGAGCAATAGCTCTCATTACTCCGTATTCTAAATAGTTCGTAGCTTTCGTTCATTTTTCTACGTAACTGGCATTCTAGCTAGAAATTTTGTGTAATTAGCTATGATAGATGAGCTGGGGGGGGGGGGGGGGGGGNGGGTTCTTTAATCTTTTAAAATGTGGGGAGTGGGAGGGCTGTGCTATTTCCGGTGGCTTACGCTGCATTTGTCTAATGTTGCAGAGCTTGAGGAAAGTGAATCAACCGCAGAGTAACAGGGTGAATTACAGACAAGCGGGTAGCAGATTTGTTGTGAGAGCTACTGCAAAGGATATAGCGTTCGACCAGAGTTCAAGGACTGCACTTCAGTCTGGGATTGATAAGCTTGCCAATGCAGTCGGTCTGACTCTTGGACCCAGGGGTAACTTTCTGGTTCTTTTGATTTATGAATTAGTTAGCATTGAATTTCGTTTCTGTGCTCCTCGTTATCCCGCCTTGCGTAGATATGTCTGCTGTTGAAATCTATACAAGACACTGCTCAATTTGGTTCTTAACATAATGAAAAACTTGCGACCTTTGTATTTGAAGGGAGGAATGTTGTGCTGGATGAGTTCGGCAGTCCCAAAGTAGTAAATGATGGTGTGACAATTGCTCGTGCAATTGAGTTGCCTGATCCCATGGAGAATGCTGGGGCAGCTCTAATTAGGGAGGTTGGTCTTTTGTACTCTGGACCTTTTTATATACCAGTGCGATATATATTTGATCTGTTATGATGCAAAAGCTTCTCATCTATCGGCCATTGAACATTAACAAGCATTCTATCTGTCATGAAGGTCGCAAGTAAAACTAATGACTCTGCTGGTGATGGGACAACGACTGCCTCAGTCCTGGCGAGGGAAATTATCAAACTAGGCCTTCTGAATGTTACTTCCGGTGCAAATCCAGTATCACTGAAGAGAGGAATTGACAAGACAGTGCAAGGATTGATTGAAGAGCTTGAGAAGAAGGCTAGGGCTATCGAAGGCAGAGATGATATCAAAGGTATTGCTTTCCATATCCTGAATGGCCTTAGTTTGGAACTTCTTCTTATTTCTGGTCATTATTATTTTTTTTCACTAACTGATGATCTGCGTTTTGTTTTAATTCTGTGTAGCCGTTGCCTCTATCTCTGCTGGAAATGATGAGCTGATAGGGTCGATGATCGCTGATGCCATTGAAAAAGTGGGGCCCGACGGTGTCTTGTCCATTGAGTCATCATCTTCCTTTGAGACCACTGTGGAAGTTGAAGAAGGGATGGCGGTGTGTAGTTTTTTCTGTTTAGTAAATTATATTTCATGATCCAATTTCTAGTCATATACATGTTTTAACTCTATTTTGTCTTCATTTTGTTTTTTGCTTTGCAGATTGATAGAGGCTACATTTCTCCTCAGTTTGTCACAAACCCTGAAAAGTTAATTGCTGAATTTGAGAATGCACGAGTGTTAATTACAGATCAGAAAATTTCAGCAATAAAGGATATAATCCCTATATTGGAGAAAACCACGCAATTGAGAGCTCCTTTGCTCATTATTGCTGAGGATATTACTGGTGAGGCTTTGGCTACACTTGTTGTGAACAAGTTGCGGGGTATTCTAAATGTTGCTGCCATTAAAGCTCCAGGATTTGGGGAAAGGAGAAAGGCTATGCTCCAAGACATTGCCATTTTGACAGGTAATCTCAAGTCTTAAAGTTATAATGGGCAACTACATGCTTCATCTGTTTAAATGCTAACACATTTGAGATCTCTTGTTGGATTTACTTGTTCTGTTGATGGCATAATTGTTTCTTTATTCTCTGTATCCGTGAATTCACTATCTCAACCAAGCATGTGAAGTTGCATTGTTTAAATCAAAAGTTCATATAAGGGGAAGTTATTTTTATAAATCTTAAGTGCTTTCATGTCGAATGAAAGAATGACCAACGTTGTTTTCCTTGTTACTTTATTATTTCAGGTGCTGAATTTCAAGCCAGTGATCTTGGATTGCTTGTAGAAAATACTACAATTGAACAGCTTGGTTTGGCCCGAAAAGTGACCATCTCGAAGGACACTACCACCATCATTGCTGACGCTGCTTCAAAAGATGAGCTACAAGCAAGGATTGCACAGCTAAAGAAGGAATTGGGTGAGACGGATTCTGTTTATGACACTGAGAAACTGGCTGAAAGAATTGCCAAATTGTCTGGTGGTGTTGCCGTCATTAAGGTTGGAGCTGCGACAGAGACTGAACTTGAGGACCGGAAGCTCCGTATTGAGGATGCAAAGAATGCAACTTTTGCTGCCATAGAGGAAGGGATTGTACCTGGTGGTGGTACTGCACTGGTTCACCTCTCAACTCTTGTCCCTGCAATCAAGGACAAGCTTGAGGATGCGGAAGAGAAGCTAGGTGCTGATATTATCCAAAAGGTATTAGAATTTGAGGCTTCTATTTAATAATCATTTGGCTTTTAAAAACTAACCTTATAAACACTATTTAAACCTACTTGTTTCTTTGTTTTGTCTCTGTGATCTGATGAAGAACACGATATAGTAATTGGGAGTTGATCATAATTTTTATAAACAGAAAATTAAAAACCCTAAAATTGCTAGTTGTGTCCAGAAGATCATCCCAACCAGTGGTGTTGGTTATTTGGCGTGAGATTACTTAGTCAACTCCTTTAAAACTTTCATTGTAATCCTATCGAAGCATACCACTTGTTCTTAAGAAATTCCTGGAACACCTGGCGTTTGGTATTTTGTTGTAAACTAGTCTTTCTTGTACGCAGGCGCTGGTAGCACCGGCATCCTTAATTGCCCAAAACGCTGGAATTGAAGGGGAAGTAGTGGTGGAGAAGATCAAGTCGAGTGAATGGGAAATTGGATATAACGCAATGACAGACAAGTACGAGAATCTGGTAGAGGCCGGTGTGATTGACCCAGCCAAGGTGACAAGATGTGCATTGCAGAATGCGGCTTCAGTTGCTGGCATGGTCCTAACCACACAGGCCATTGTAGTTGAAAAGCCCAAGCCCAAGGCACCCATCGCTGCACCACAAGGCCTTACCGTTTAAAATTCCTGGGAATCTTGATCATCTTCATTTGTAGGACAGACGTCAGATATGAAGAGTAGCTTCTTGCGGCGCGTGTTCATTGGAAACGGCGAGACAATAAGAAAAGATGGAACTCTGTATGTGAATGCGCTTTTTTTGAACGGTTCTGGAAACTTGCATTAGATATTGTAAGATCACGGAAATCAATTGCATCAAGTTTGTGTTTTTTTCATGGGAAAGAAATAATTTTGATGGATCGGCTGTGTGTATTTTAGTGTAAAGATTAACAGACCCTGTTTCTTGCTCTGGGACTTCCAATGATCTTCAAAAATCAAGGGTCAGGATGTTTAGTTGATAAATTGTGGGAGGCTTCGACTAAAGTAGACCTCCAAATGAGGAGGGACAAAATTTGAGGAGGTTAAGCTGATGATATAGTACTGGATAGATGTTCACTTTTATTGACAATGCCCTACAAGTAGAGGATTGGATAATTCAACTAAATGTGAGAAAACAATGGAGGATAAAATGAGTTGGATGTTGTGTTGCAAAGAATTAGGCTAGAAGAATTGAGTAGTTAAGAGTGTTATATACCGGTGGTGAAGATACCTACAAGATGTTAGGGTTGATGTTTATACATATAAACACAGTTGATGTTTTACATATAAAGACATTATTTATGCATATAGTTAGAGTGTTACACGATTTTTACTCGTAGATTAGTAGAAGATATTTTGTTTCTGAATCTTATATACTTTATTTTATTTTAATTTTTTTAAATATAACTTTCAATTTAAGAATGTTTGATTTGAATTATATTTGAGTTCTTATCTTAAATGACATTTACATATTCATGGTAATCTCTTAAGCATTTGATTCTCAAATAAAGAGGTTTTGGGTATTGTAGCATCATGCTCCTCAATAAATACCTTTTTTTTTTTTTTTTTTAATCTGGTTTTAAATAATAATTAACAAATCAATCCCATCTAATCTATATAACAAAATCAAATTTAAACCTAACAATTTTCTTAAACTAGTTTATATCGAGTGGATCAGTAGTGGTAAATATATGCCTTTAGATCAATGCGTCTTCAAAGTTTACAAAGTTTACGGGATCAGTTGTGGTAAACATGACCGAGTGAGCTTCATCATCTTCTTCACAAAAATCTTCTCCTATTGCTTAGTCTCTCAGACTAGTGGTCTCCTATTCCTCGCAGCTAGGAGAGTTTGCTTCAGCCAAAGAGCCGGAGGAAATATTTTCCTATGCAGTATTTTAGTTGGTAACTTTTGATTCTTCACTAACTCCCAGCAAAACACAACTCAAACTTTTATCATCTAGCTTAGTTCTTTTTGTCTTGTATTAGTAAGAGCGGTTTCTTTCTCTTTCTCGAGCTACACATCAACATCATCAAACAACTTCTTGCGACCTTCCTCTATTCACCTTTGTATTTCTAATTTAGTCCCTTTAGAGTTTAGCTTTTCTTCAACATTCTCCTGAATTAATTCTTCCATCCTCCTAACTTGAGCTTCTTCTTCTCCTAGAACGGGTAGTGGAATGATATGGAGAAGGACTTGGGTCCCTTCTACTTCTTTGACTATGGCAATAGGAATTGGAGCGAGGAGTGTGCGATAGGAATTGGAGCAAGGAGTGTACGACGGAGACCTTGAAAAAACTTCTCCCCATAAGTTTCAATTGAGTTTGAACGGTTGCTACAAGCTGAGATATAGCATGCAGTACGAACATTCGATCATTTGATTCAAAGACATCTTTGTCTCCATGATTAAGCCTCTCTCATGATGAAACACCTTGCACGTTCCATTTTGAAATAAAATGTTACGCCCCTTTGCTTGCAATTTCCCAATACTCATTGTATTGTGTTCTTCAGCTGTGACACATAGAACACTTCTGTGATTATCAGTATGATTTCCATTCACTTGCAGTCGTACATTACCCTTTCCCGTTACATCTAGAGTTGTTGCTCAGCTTCACTGAATCTCTGAAACTTTCATCAACATCTGAAAAAATATTCCTTTCTTCCCACACATATGATTGCTACATCCCGAGTCAAGGAACCACATATTTTCTTTATTGGCCTTATTCATATTCACATAAGCCATCAGCAACATCTCTTCATAGTTTGTCTCCTTCTCCTTGCTTTGACATTCCCATTGAAAATGTCCTAGCTTGTGACAATTATAACACTCCACTGTGACCTTGTTGAAGGTTTGTTTGCCTCGTCCCCTTCCTCTGCCTCTAAAGCTTCCACGACCTTGACTCCTTCCTCCAAATTGTTCACCTTGAGTGATCTTCAAGGCATGTTCTTTAACATGAGAACTCATGCGTTGTTCATGCACAAACAGACTGCTTTGCAACTCATCAATGGTTAAGATTGTTGTATCCTTGGACTCTTCAATGTAACACACAATATAATCAAACTTGAGTCATAGATTTCAAAATCTTTTCAACTACTCAACATCTCCTTTGTTCTCACCATTTATTTTTTTGGCTATGCTAAGGGTCCGAGCAAAATATTTACATATTCTCCTGCCTTTATGTGAAGCTTTTCAAACTTCTTACGAAGAGCTTGCAAATGTGCACGCTTTACTTGTGTCGAACCTGATATTTTTGCTTCATAGAATCTCATATGTTCTTTGTTGTATCCTTGTTGAGGATTGTCTCCAAGATCGAACAACCTAATGCTTGAAATAGATAATTCTTTGCTTCCAAATCTTTCAACTTCTGATCTTAGATGTGCTTCTTCTGGGCATATGTGGAAACGATGTGTTCTATTGCTGCATGCATAAATCTCATTCTCCACCAAATCCCAGTACTGCTTTGAACGGTTGCTGCATAAATCTCATTCTCCACCAAATCCTAGTACGCACAAAGTTTTCCCTAAGCATTGCATAATGATCATAGTACCCATAAAAAAAAGTTTTCCTTGAGTATCTCTCAATAATCATAGTACCCATCAAATTTTGGAATCGCAGGCTGCACAAATGAACTCTCTATCGACATACTTTTATTATGACACATGTAGAAGACGGGTGCTTCTAGTTTTGGCTAGTTTATGGCATGACCTTGATCTCAAATGTTAAGAACAAGGAGAAAATTGGAATGAATTTAGAGAAATCTCACATTCTTAGCTATTACATAGCTATCTAAAACAAATCAAATTCTATATAAGTAAATCAAACCTAATTCAATCAAATTTAAACCTAACAATTACTCGAATTATCTGAGTTCATAAATCATAACTAAAAAAAGTTATATTTTTGGGTGGGGATATTTTTTTTTTACCATATATTGTATGATTTTATGTCTCTTAATATATGATCTAAACCCAAGCTTATTACATTAATATTTAATAAAATAATAAATTCTCAATTATTTTTGGAGGAATTAACCCACAAAGCATAAAAGAGACATTTTCCCAAATTTTAAATGTCACTTCAATTTTGATAAAAACAGCTCATATTTTATTCTTACAATAAAATAAAATAAAATAAAAAGAAAGAAAGAAAGAATCTGATTTCCTCTTCCAAGCAAGATTTATTTTTTTGTCTTATCACTCTCTTTTTAATATTAATCTTAATTATCGTTCCATTAATCAGCTTCACACTTCATTGATTTTAAATACAAAATAGTCCATTTTAAAATTTATAGTAGTATTGGTCTGTTTGAAATAAATACCTTTTAAATAAAAATTAATTTAATTTCTATAAGCACGTCCAAAAACCAATATTTAAAGTAAATTTACTATAGCGTCCTAATGATTTTAAATAATTAAAAGTAGTTAAAAAATAATAATAATAAGCAATTTAAATTTAGATGGACTTGAAACATATTTTGAATTAATTAACAAAAATATTTGAACATGAAGAAAGAAAGAATATACATTTAATATAATTTTAAAAAAATTGTTTAAAGTAGGAAGTATTTGTATCGAGTATAAATCCTAATATATAACGGTGTCATTTCCATTCGGCAATATAATATTATAAAAACAGAACATATTCGTTGATGGATTAGTCAAAAGAAAAAGGAATCGTAAAAGTTTTGTTTCTTTTATTATTATGATTTAACAAATGAGGAAGTTGAATAATGGGGTCACATCCAATCCCACCTTTGAGGACAATAAAAAGGGTCCAAAGCAGGTGTTTAAATTGCAGGCAGCTATTCTAATCTTTGCATCCATGGCGTCTTTCCAATGCAACAAACCGGCTGAGCGCAGCCACCACCAGAGGCACGATCAATGCCATCAGGAACACCAACACCATCACGGCCACGGTCCGGCGGGGGGTCACGGCCACGGTCCGGCGTGGGGTCACGGCCACGGTCCGTCGGGGGGTCACGGCTGCGGTCCGTCGGGGGGTCACGGCCACGGTCCGGCGTGGGGTCACGGCCACGGTCCGTCGGGGGGTCACGGCCGCGGTCCGTCGGGGGGTCACGGCCACGGTCCGGCGTGGGGTCACGGCCACGGTCCGTCGGGGGGTCACGGCTGCGGTCCGTCGGGGGGTCACGGCCACGGTCCGGCGTGGGGTCACGGCCACGGTCCGTCGGGGGGTCACGGCTGCGGTCCGTCGGGGGGTCACGGCCACGGTCCGGCGTGGGGTCACGGCCACGGTCCGTCGGGGGGTCACGGCTGCGGTCCGTCGGGGGGTCACGGCCACGGTCCGGCGTGGGGTCACGGCCACGGTCCGTCGGGGGGTCACGGCTGCGGTCCGTCGGGGGGTCACGGCCACGGTCCGGCGTGGGGTCACGGCCACGGTCCGTCGGGGGGTCACGGCTGCGGTCCGTCGGGGGGTCACGGCCACGGTCCGGCGTGGGGTCACGGCCACGGTCCGTCGGGGGGTCACGGCTGCGGTCCGTCGGGGGGTCACGGCCACGGTCCGGCGTGGGGTCACGGCCACGGTCCGTCGGGGGGTCACGGCTGCGGTCCGTCGGGGGGTCACGGCCACGGTCCGGCGTGGGGTCACGGCCACGGTCCGTCGGGGGGTCACGGCTGCGGTCCGTCGGGGGGTCACGGCCACGGTCCGGCGTGGGGTCACGGCCACGGTCCGTCGGGGGGTCACGGCTGCGGTCCGTCGGGGGGTCACGGCCACGGTCCGGCGTGGGGTCACGGNTCGGGGGGTCATGGCCACGGTCCGGCGTGGGGTCACGGCCACGGTCCGTCGGGGGGTCACGGCTGCGGTCCGGCGGGGGGTCACGGCCACGGTCCTGCGGGGGGGCAAGGCCACTGCCAGCCAGCCAATCCCAATGTCGGACACTGCCAGCCAGCCAATCCCAACGTCGGCCACTGCCAGCCAGCCAGTCCCAATGTCGGCCACCACAGCGACAGCAGTGACAGTGACAACGATTGTCGCAGAGGTCAGCACTAAAGGAAGGCAAGTTCTTTTTTTTATGTCGGGTCGAAATAGAATTCACCAGGTGTTTGATTGCTTCAACGCACATAGCAGTCTGATTGTTAATTCATAGGATTGGTTGAAAAGAATTAACTATTTATCATTGTTTTGATTGTTTTGGCAGAATTGGAAGGAGGAAGTGGAAGGGTACTTGCTAGATTGAAGGGAAGGGAATCAGAGAGTGCATCTAAACTGCTACTGATACTCCTACTACTAAGTATTCGAGTGACGCCTAAAATAAATAAGACAATTTATAAGACACCCTAACTTTATCTCCTTTTCCTTCTTTCAAATAAAGTTTCTGTATTGCTATCCTCACTATCAATATAAAATGCATATGTTTAAATTTTGCTTGCTATAATATATATATATATATGAACATAAATCTGATACGCAATAAAACGAGATACATAATGTCAGATGACAAAATTATGTGCTTGACATTACGACCGTTTTATATTACAAAGTAACGTCTAAAAACACAATTTTGTACAGCCAAAAAAGCTTAGCTAGAGCTATCTAAGACCTCCAGAGACAAAAGTAGCAAGTGCCTGAGCAGCTACATTTTCGGCTTCATCTTTACTCGAACCCTTGCCTTGAAGGTACTTCTTTGAGATATGGAAAGAGTGGTCACCACCATCAATCACATGTAACCCACTAATTGATTTCATCCTCTTCCGAATATCCTCCAGCTTCTCTAAAGGACACAGAGCATCCCTGCTACCCTGAATGGCAAAATTATGATGTTAAAGACTGCACAACGATGTGATTGAACTTCGATCGAATCTCTCAAGTGTCTATGAATGTCTATGATCCCTTAACATTCTATCATTAATAGGTGTGAAAAAGCAAACTTGTATCCCACTCAAGGTGGCCCATAAATCATAACGTTCCCTCATGAAACCAGAGTAGATCTACCGATATGTTATTACTTTGCCATAGAAGGTGTGGGTTATGCTTCATATCTTTCAAAAGAGAATAATTTGTGTTAAAAAAGATGTGGGCCCCGGGGGGAATTCCAACGACTGACTAATAGAAGATACATGTGTTAACCACTTGAGCGATGCTCAAGTTCTTCTAGAGGAGAATATTGCAACTTATATTGTTTAGTTGTTGACGTTGTAAAGAGGATGTACCTGTACAAACATGATAGGAATGGTAACTTGCAGTAGCGTCTGGTCTCGGACATCCCCTTTCAAGCCCTAAAAACATGCAACTTTATCTTGATTAATTGGCAGAAGCTATAAGCTTCCATTGTACAATGGAAAATGTCACCTTCATTGTCATTCCTACCCGCAGAGGTTTTTCAAACCCATAAAGTTTGATAACACTTAATTTGAGGTATGAGAACATATCCAACATATACTAGTCATCTATCACTCACTTATTGCATATCTGAACTAAAAGGTCAAGTTTATTTACAAATTCAAGTTTCTTATGAAAAAGGTAAGGTTGTCCCAAGTTTGGTATGACCATAACTGACAGTGTATATACTTGATAAATAGCCATCTACAACTTGCAAAAGAAACCATAACAAGAGATGTTTATTTACCCTAAAGCCTGAAGGATTTTTCAATCTGATATGCATAAATAGTCTCATACCTTCAAGGGATACCCCAAGCAAATTATTGCAGAAGCATGAATGTCTTCCTCACAAGCTACCATGCAACTTACTCTGCAAATAATGAAATAAGTAAAAACCATATTTACCCAACAGAAAATCTCAAATTATGAAGTTTTATTGTGACTATCATCTATGAAGTTGAATGTTCATGGTTTTATAAAAATAAAAATAAATAAATAAATAAAAAGCCTCGAATTATTCAAAAAAGTCAGAATAAGCAAAAAATGAATCGGTCCTAAAAATCACCTCAAATATTTTCATTCATTTGCATAGGCTATCTGTGAACATTATTTTTTTTTAAATCTTGTTAAAAAAAGATCACTTGAGGAGAAGTTTATTCCATTTATAGCCCACCAATGACAATATGCTTCGGAAATATTTGAAAATTTCATACTTATGAAGACGCTAAGCAGAACTCCAAACGGATAATTTCAAGCAAAGAAACAAAATTATTACCTCGAACCCATAGATTTACCAGCCAAAATCAAAGGGTGCCCAGGGTACTTTGCAATTGTCCTTTTGACAATTTCGACATGGTATGGAACCAATTTTTCAGCCTTGGGAGGAGGCTTCCTACCACCAGAAATGTCTGTCAAGTCAACTCAAAATTTTAAAAGTTAATTGAAAGAGACAGCCAAATTTGAAGTTCATCATGTTCCAATGCCTAGTAACACTGCAAAAGGTATATGGTCCTATATCTATATCAATGTATTGTTAAATGGTAAGTACTCACACGGATAGTCAAAGGTGACAACATCAACAGCATGTAGTGCCTTGCCTAACATATCTTTCCATCTGGATGAAATCAAGAAATCTGAAGCCTTCATAAGTCAACTAATTGGTCAAAAATGTTTTACAGGATAAAATCAAACCATACTGCAAGGATTTGAATCTCAAATAAGAGGTTGAAAATGGCTTAGAAAACATCGTAAAACGCAGAGAAATAGATAGCACGGTAACAAGCTGGCTTATGCTACTCAATGGGGATAACAAATTCAGCGGGAATTTCCAGACAAGATTTCCCAATTTCACCATCTGAAAAAGAATTCTACCCTTCAAACGAGTGAGGAAGATCATCAATCTTTAAGATAAAAACACATGAACGCTTAAAGAGGAACCATACAGAGCAACACTCAGGCCAGAAAACTGTATCAGCAAAGCTCAAGGAACTTTTAAAGGACTTTTAGATGAAAGTGTCCCACGTCAGTTAATTTAGAGAATGGTCATGGGTTTATAATCAAATAATACACTCTCCATTGGTGTGAGGCCTTTTGAGGAAACCCAAAGCAAAGCCATGAGAGCTTATGCTCAAAGTGGACAATATCATACCACTATGGGAGAGTCGTGCTGGTCTAATAAGGAACAACTATCCTAACAAATATTTCCTACTTAAATTTCAATTACGTATAATTCACAACACTGAGACGAAATCACATCCAATTTCATCCCAAATCAAACCTAAATTCTCAGTACCATCGCTCCCAGTTCTCGCAGTTCATCAACTACAAACAACTCCAAAAAGAGCGAGTACGAGAAAGAAATCGACGGAGGCAATCGGAAAATGGAAAGACGAACAAAAAAGAACGACGAAGAAAAAGAAAAGAGAAATGCCTGATCATCCATTCAGAAGAAGAAGGGGCACCAGCACCGTGAGCGAAAACGACTACAGGGGACAATCTATTACCCGAGGAAGACGTTGCAAGTAAGGTCTCAAAGGCGTCATCAATGGCGAGGTTTTTACGCCGGCGTTTTGAAGGAGGTGAAGAAGCCATTGCTAAGAAGAACCACAAACTGAACCCCAAATCAACGGCCCTAATAAACCCAGAGAACAAAACTAACTTCGGCGCCAAACTGAGAGAGCAGCACTTGGAACGACAAGGAGTGGCCGTTGTTCAAAAGTTTCACTCCTATGGCGTGCGGCCCATTGAGGCCCAAATGAGGTCTATTTATTGGGCTTTCAGATGGATCTGAAGGCCCACCCACAAGACAACATTGACAACGAACAATTTGTACGGAAAGTTGGTTGGGAACTTTTTAACTAATTATGGTTAAATATATTACACAAATAAATAATTTATAAATATGATATATTTTTTTATTAAAAAAACCACGCCTATTTATATAACTAATAATTATTAATAGATTATTTCTAGGTTTATCTAACATAAAAAAGAATTATACATTACTATTAGAAAATTATTACTCCTTATTATTTTTAAATTTTGATATAATATGTCCATGATACACGAAATAATCTTGCAAATAATCCCTTTCTATTTATGAAATTTTATAAAAAAATATAAGGATAAATTATAACTCTTAAAACAAACTTTCTTCTATCCATTGAGACCAAATTTGTAATTTAATCTCTTTTAATCCCCATTGACCTTTGCCGGTGAAATGGGATATAGCTACAACAAACACGAAGCCAAATTTCATAGGTTTAAACAACGAAATATACAAAGTAGATGTGTTTAGAAGTTATTGGAGCACAAACCATCCTGCTGTGTGCTGGTAAGCTCTGAGCATGGCCATGGACTAACCAAGAGAGCTGCCCCACTTACATACGAGCAAGTCCACGGTACTGATCTCGGTCTCGCTGTGCCACGAAGGTTAATGTTCGAAAGACATATACCAGTAAATGGGGAGTTCCTCAAGCCATATATAGAACCTGCTTGCTGCACATTCACACCCCAAACGTTTTTAATTGTGATGTCTTTGACGATTGGAAGAGCGTTCGGGTCAAACTTGTCGTCAGGATGATCTCCGGTATCGCTCGCAATCTTTAGACCCTTTCGCGAACTCTCCATGTAGACATCCGATATGGTTATGTTCTTTATGAACCCCCCTCTTCCAATGTTTGTCTTGATGTTGATACCAACTCCCATGTCGTATAAGCTTAGGTGTTCTGCAAATACATTTGACACACCACCGGAGGTTTCGCTTCCTACAGCAACTCCAGCAAATGGACTTGACCCTGATATTCTTCGGATGGTAATGTCGTAACTACTACGACCGTAAGCGATACCATATTCGTCCCATCCGCTCTTCACAGCCACAAGATCATCTCCAGTTGAAATGTAGGAATCTTCTATACAGACGTTGTTGCTTGAATCTGAGTTCATCAGTTTGACAAGTTTTGTTACTTTCAGGCATATACAGAACTAATGTTATAAGAATTTTGAACATGACTTGTAGTAAGCAATTATTTTAACCAGAGGTCGACCAGGGGTGGGGGAGCTAATAACTACATGATATGTCCTTAAGGATCGGAAAATGCACCTGGATCGATTCCATCGGTGTTCGGGGAATCACGAGGAGCCAATATTGTGACATATCTGACAACAACGTTACTGCAACAGAAGATTAAGATAAAAGTAAGATTCAGCTATATCATTGTGATGCAGACACGGTTGATATTACTCCCAAAGGAGTTCTGTAACAGCTCAAGCCAACCACAAGCAGATATTATCCGTTTTGGCTTGTTACGTATCGCCGTCAATCTCATGGTTTTAAAATACATCTACTAGGGAGAGGTTTCCACGCCCTTATAAGAAATGTTTCGTTCTCCTCTCCAACTAATGTGGGATCTCCCAATCCACCCCCTTTTGGGGTACAACGTCCTCGCTGGCACACTACTCGGTGACTGGCTCTGATACCTTTTGTAACAACCCAAACCCACCTTAATAGATATTATCCGTTTTGGCCTGTTACGTATCGCCATCAACCTCACAGTTTTAAAATACGTCTACTAGGGAGAGGTTTTCACACCCTTATCAAGAATATTTTGTTCCCCTCTCCAACCAACATAGGATCTCACAAGTTAAAAGCGTTTTTGGTTGGAGAAAAGTAGAAAATATGATGAACATTTAAGAGGAGTTGAAACATGATTGAAAACGACTTTAATTCATACCTGCAGTAAACTGGATGAATGTTCCAAAACGGGGAGTTCAGGAACATTACGTTGGAGATGATGATATTATGAGAATTGATAAATTCAACAAGATTAGGCCTAGTGTACATCAGAGTCCTTGTCCTCCACATATTCCACCAGACATCACCTTGGCCATCAATGGTCCCATTCTCACCTACCACATCAATTTAACTCGGGCTATTAATATACATACTTTTGTTCCAAGAACAACACAAGTAAACCAGGTTTGCAATAGCCTTAATATACATTTTAAAAGAACTAGATGATTCATACCAGTGATCACCACATCATGAACACCATCTCCATGAATAAAGCTTACATATCTTCCACCAGGGCGCTCCCTTCCTCTTCCATATGATGGCAACGGCTCGATCACTGGCCAATTTGAAGAATCCTGGACATCAAACAGAGAAAAAAAAACAGAAGCTTAATACAAAAGTAAAACAATAAAAGTGAAGGATTAAACTAGTTTAAAAAAGGAGAAATTTTATGAAAAGATCGGACAATTGTCATCATCTGCAGAAAATTACATCATCGAGAAGTTGATGGAGACAGTAACAGGAATGGTGAAAAAATCTTAGACCAAAGATCTTGCACTCACTAAATTGACCATCCATTGGCATGCACACAGACCCAGAATTAAAAAAATGCTTATTGGAAGCGGGTAATCATATAGGAGTCAAATTTTAGACACTGACAACATATAACAGTTCTAATTTCAAAATCTTGACATAATTTCCACCCATTTTACTTCAAGTACCAGAGAAATAGGTAAAGTTCCTTCGGGGAAAACTGTAATAGCTTAAGCCCACCGCTAGTAGATATTGTCCGCTTTGATCCATTACATATCACTATCAACCTCATGTTTTTTAAAACGCGTCTACTATGGAGATAGTCTAGCCCTACTCCGACTAGATACCATTTGTACAAGTCCAAGCCCGCCGCTAGCAGATATTGTCTGCTTCGACTTGTTACGTATCGTCGTCAGCCTCACGGTTTTAAACTGCATTTTCTACGGAGAGGTTTCCACACTCTTATAAGTAACGTTTTGTTTTCCTCTCCAACCAACATGGGATCTCACAAAAACAAAGAAGATTAAGAAAAGGATCAGATTGCCTAAAACAGATCCTTTCTGGCCTGTTTGCTAGCTGAAATAGACATTGATTAAGTAATTACTACAACTAATTAATAACATTGTCATCATCCTTGTTAAAAGAATCAACCAATGTTTTGACATAGATATTTCAACTATGGGACAGCCAATTTTGGTTGCTTGAAATTGATGTCCAGATCAGCAAAATAATAATCACAAATTAGCAAATCAGAACTTTGAACGGATCAATCAACTAAAATGGGATCACATTCTAATAAAAATTTAGCATCAGAATCCGACAAAGAACAGCCTGTAGACGGTCCAATCATAATTATATATATAATGTTATTAATTTAGAGTGGATGCACATGCCACAGCTTAATCGAATACCCACCCACCAGAACACACGTTCATTCTGATAAATCCCAATCCCCTAATCTAGAAACCATTCATAATCACCGACAAAAATAAGCTCAAAATCAGAATCACCAAACAAAAGAAACCCTAAGCACGAGAATCACCAGCGAAAAATCAGGAAAATTCTCTCATTCAACAACAACCAACACTAGCCACACTACTGAATCACAAATAAGAGAAACAACAAAGAAGTTCAGTAAGAAGCATATACCTGAACAGCTTTGATAACAGCGTCTTTTGCAAGATACAGAGTCATATGGCTAGTGAGATTAAAGCTCTCCGTCAAGTAAACCCCAGGAGGAATGTAAAGCAAAGTACCCCCTCTTCTTCTCAAATGCTGAATTCGATAGATCGCAGCTCGAAATGCTCTAGTGTTCAATGTATGGCCATCGCCGACACCCCCAAAGTCGGCAATGGAAATCTTGTCGCTCCGGTACTTCATGGGAACTATCCCGGAGCAGGTAGTGAGCTCGCCGGCGGCAAGAGGAGGGGACAAAAGAGCATCGAAGCAGATGAAAATGAAGAGGAAAAACGGCAACATGGTGGAGAAATGGGAAAGAGAACAAAGAGAAAAGAGTGGAGAAACGCTTTTTGAGGGATTTAAGTAAGATTTTAAAGAAGAAGAAGAAGATGGGAAGAAGGGGGAGTAGATCTGGGAGTTAGGACACGAAGAAGAATCCAAGAATGGTGCGAAATGGAGAAGATAATTAATGGAAATGGTTAGAGAGAGAGAGAGAGAGCAGTAACCAGAGAATCAGAGATCGGCAAAGAAACGCATTTTTAAATAAAATTTTAAATTATAAAATAGAATGTTCCTCCTCAAATTTTACAAATAACGTCTCCCTAAAATTTTATAATCTTTCAGATTGGTTTTAGTGAAAAGCCCAAATTGGGCCCAGACCACATAAATTGAAGCCCATGGACCAACTCAATTCTTGGGCTTCTTTCTCCATCCCTGCACTTTTCTAATTCATTATTATCAATATGGTATCTCCATTGTTGTGAGCTTTGTTTGGGTATCATGCTATTCTGGAGAGTCGGATTTGTTTGGGTATCATACTATTCTGGAGAGTCGGGTAAGAAGAATGATAGAAGCAAGTTTAGTCCGACAAACCATTTTTTATACCTTTTAAGAAGTGTTTAATAGTTTACAAAGTAAGAATAAAAATCCAAAATTCATCATCAAACCAAAAGTTTATTTGGTCCCATGAAGATTGAACAAAGAACAAAAAAGGTCTAGATTGCAAGAACATCCCAAATCTGCTCTGCATCAAAAGAAGGCATCTTCTCCAACGAGTACCACTCTGTTTCCGATCCCGTCGCCGTCGCCGTCAAGCAATCCACTGAACCAGCTCGAGGCGAGTTCTCAAAGTTCCACAACCCATCTTCCGCTGCACCAACAGCCGATACCCTTTCCCAACTCCACTTCTCCGTCATCTCCACTACCGCTGGAGGCAGAGACACCGACGGTGACGACGAAGAACACGAACCCGAACCTAAATCGCTGCCGATTCTCCGACAATCCTTCTTCTTCCCCTTCCCCTTTATCTTCTGAAAAATCGCTTGAATTTTGGCATCCACCAATTTTTTCAACCCACTCAATTTCACAAACTCATCGCTACCTAAATCGCTCTTTAGATCCTTCAAATTTGGAAAATTCAACCGAGCATATTCCCCTCGGAGCTTACAGGCGGCGCAGTCGTAAGCATAGGCGGCGGTCTCCGGCGAGTCATATGTTCCTAACCACACCCTCATCCGATTCTGCGGCAGTCGAATCTCCGCCACCCATTTCCCCCATTGCCTCTGCCGCACTCCTCTGTAAACCTTCCTCTTGCCGCCACCAACGGCAGCGCCGCAACCCGAATACAGCACTTCGTATGCCTTTGCAAATAAATCCCGAGACCCATTTGCTTTCCTTTCCTGAGAAAATCTCTGCAGTACTTCCCGCTGTCGGAGATACACCGACGACCCAACTGCCTGCTCGAAATCTACGCCATCGATTACAGAGCGGCTGAAATTGTCACAGTGAGAGAAGATTGAATCCAGAGTATTTCCTCCGGCAGTTAGAATGAGATTGGAAAGAGCCGTTGAAACATCCGTAAATTGAAGGGTTCCTCTGTTCGTCATCGTTTCCATCTTTTCCGGCAATATTTATTTGTTGGAGTATGAGGAAGAAAGAGAATTAAAGTGGAGATTTATAGGCGAGGAAGAAACTGAGAAATGGAGAAATGGTCAAAGCGGGCAAAAAGCAGGTTTTTGGATTTAGTGAAAAAGTCAGAGTTAGCGTTGATTGATTCACACACGGAAAAACACAAAAGTCTTTGAAGGTTCATAAATTGCAAAGCCACGCGGCCCATTTTGCTGGCGCCATGCTTTCATTTGGTTGCTGTCTGTGGAAGGAGACGCTTTTCTTCCTTGCCTTCCCACTCCATGTCAACTTTATAGATAATCTTTTTACATGTATATATATACCTTGGTTCATCTGACACTATCACTGATACATATTATATGTTTTAGTCTATTTCGTAGCACCATCAGTCTTACCATTTTAAAACGTTTCGATTAAGGAGAGGTTTCCATATAATTATGTAGCACACTACTCGATATCTACAATTTATCGTATCATTTTTAGCCTCACAGTTTTAAAACATATACGTTAGAGAGAGGTTTACATACTTTCATAAAAAATGTTTTTCGATCGATGTGACATATATTAAAATGGTAATGTTTTATAACCATTATTCGACAGAAATTGAGAATGACAATATTCAAAAATGGGTTTTAAATGAAAAAAATAATTATGAGCCAATCATGATGGCTATGAAAAAAGAACGAATATTAAAAGGAAAAGGTTAGGTGGGAGTCAGATGGGGTGCTCCGCCAATAATAATGGCTGTAATGCGATCCTATTATCCAAAATTAAACACCAAATTTATTTATTTATTTATTTATTATTATTCTATAAATCATTTCCCTAACGGATAACTACTAATCAATGTGAGACAGTGACTATTTTCTTTTTTTCTAACAAAAGATTGACATTTTTTTCTTTCCAATTTTGACACTACATTCTATTTTGACCAACACTACAAAGTATGGATTAGTTTGGGTCTTTTAGGAAAGGAACACATTTATTATTAAATTTGGACGGTTTGAAAAAATTTTATGTTTATTAAAAAATAAAAATATGTTCTTAAAAATATAATATTCATGAACGAGATTAAGTTACTTTTAGTGTACAATAAATCGACAAACATAAGGGTATAGATCGTTCTATCGAGTAGATATGTCTAAGGGAAGGGTGAAGACGGAGAACCCTTCTCCATCCCTCGCTTCTTATTTCAATATTCATCTCCACAAAATTCACTATTTACTTACATGTCTATACGAACTTTTTTTACCATGGGCGGAGACAGGGAATATAATCTACATTCTCAGTTCCGTTTAGCTAACGTGAAAAAATTTCTCCTCACTCCCTTCTTATTCCTCGGTTAAACGAGAATTCTTCGTCTTATTCAATGGACATTTCTACAATCAAGTGAATGAAGCAATAAATATCTCTACTAATTTGACCTAAATAATTTAGATTTTGTTTGTCTCATAGCATACTTAAACTTAATAGTTGCATTTTTAGGTGAGTGAAAATTGGTTGTGAAATGACGGGTGAAGCTTAACCAAACTATAAAAAAATAAACCTTAAAATTTTTAAGGAGCAAATTCAAGTATGTACCGAGGTCGTGGGTGAGAAAATATGCAATAAATGCATAGAATAAAAAAAATGAAAAGGACATTTAGAGAAAAAATCAAATTTGTAATGCATATATAGCTCGACATTGTAATATGCTTTCACATGCCTACGTCAACCTTAGCTTTAATTTCACTATGATTCAACCCAATAATAATAAAATAAAATAAACATTAAAAAGGAAGGAAGAGAGTTTGTCATTTTCTAATAAATAAATAAATATATATATTAATGGGCTTGAGATGGGCTTGCGATGTCATGGCCCAGCGGTCTTTAAGCCCATATCACCTTCCTTAATAACAATAATTCACCTGGTATTGATCTCATTAAGTTTTTTTAATCAAATATACTAGTTAAGATTAAAGGGTTGAAAAGAATATAAATTAAAAAAAAAATTAATTATTATACAACACAAAAAAATTATGTTTTTTTTTTAAAGTAGAGATATATTCCTTCCATGGTTATTATTACAAACATTAAATCTGTCTCATTATTAAATGAGACATTCAATGATTAAGTTTAATTAGACATAATCATACAAATAAACTAATACAAAATTAAAAATAAATAAAACCCAACACCTCAATTTTAGTAATTTATTTAATTAATCCTCAGAAATAGAAATTATATTTATAAAAAAACACAGCTAATTGTGTGTGTAGAATATAGAAACATGGTGGCTGCGGTAGGGGAGAATTGCCGAAGTGTCACGTGGCGGGCCCCACTTTCCACGGGGTTCCACATGACCCATGTCTAATCGTTACCGTGTCCGTCCACGTACGAAAAAAAAAAAAAAGGAAAAATCACCGCCAATTACGCTTCCTTTTTTTATTTTTCTTTAATTTATTTTTTTTTATGAGGATTATGTGGTCCCCAAAGGAAGGGATCGACGGCTGAGATTAGATTTGATCATTTACAATGGACTCCCGGTAGATTCATAATTCGAAGTTTATTAAAGTAATTATTAAAATATTTTTAAAGTATGCAAAATTACAAAAATGACATTAACATTAGTGGTTTCTTGTGTATTTTGATAAATATTACAGGGATAAATTAATTTGAAAGTACTGTAAGCAGAAAATAGTAATGGCAATTATTGCACCCATAATAATAATAATAATAAATAATATTAATTATAATGCTCCTCAAATAACCAGTCACCAAAACCCTTTTAACTTGATGGGGCTTTTTGTCTCTTCTTGAACTCTTAATGGCTGGACTCCAAACATGTGGTCTTATACGGAGACTAGAATGTTGAAGGTTATTGAGACGAGTAGTCTTGTTGGCTAATTAAGAGGAGATTGTGAGTTTATAAGCCATGAACATTATCTCTATTGGTACGAGGTTTTTTGGATAAACAAAAAAAACAAAATTGTGAAAGTTTATAGTAGAGTGGATAATATCATACTATTGTGAATGGTCGAGGTTATGTCTTACAATTCTCGAGTCATTTTGGTATTTGAGCTGAACATATTCCTTATTCGATCACTTTGAGCCAAATTGTTCTTAATTGGGTTGCGATAGTAGGCATATTCATCTCATCTTAGTCAATTGGTTCGTACTAGTCTTAAGCTAACAAACTTTTCACTTTCACCTCGATCAATTTAAAATATATTAGGACAAAAGTGAAATAATGAATAATCCTTTACTATGTAAATATATTGAAATTCTAGATTAAATATATAACTTAACCACTTGTTGTGGTCCGTTGACATTTAAATCTTTATTTAGGACAAATCATTCCGACATGTTTAGTAAAAGAAAGGAAAGTGTTGGTGTGTTTATCGATGTCCTCAATTTCTGATTTTGTGTTTGTCAAAAACAAAAGGATTACTCCATTGCTCATCTAAAAATAAAATTTTAATTTGGAACTAATTATCATGTTTAAATTAAAATATAACCAAGTTGAAAGGTCAAATCTAGAAGCTTTATCATACTCGTCTATTTATATCAAATTCACATCTCAATCATATCATAGGTAACGTTTCTAATATGCCAAGTTTTTAATCATTTCATTTTCTTATTATATGTTTTGACAAACATACAAACTAAAGCATGAGACTTTAAACTCAACATGGATGATTTTGATCCAACAATTGATTGGATTGATTGCATGTTAGTGTTATGATTGGAGCTGGAGTGCACATTACAGGAATCTGTCTCTGAATTTCTTCATCTTATAATAGTCATATAATGATCACGATAGCTTAACGCTATAACTTGCAGCTTAGCATATGTTAAGTGAGTAGGGTCATCATCATACTCTGTCAATATTCGCAACGTAGTTGTATGACATTTCTTGTGAGATCCCACATCGATTGGAGTGAGGAATGAAACATTTCTTATAAGATATGAAAACATATTCCTAACATACGCGCTTTAACACTTTGAGGGGGAAAACTCAAATATGACAATATCTATTAATGGTGAGTTTGAGCGGTTATAAATGGTACAGAGTTAGACACCAAGTGGTGTGCCAGTGAAGACACTTGATCCCGAGGAGTTGGGTTGTGAGATCCCACATCTATTGGAGAGTGAACGAATAATTCCCTATAGGATGTGGAAACTTCTCCCTAACAGACGTATTTTAAAACTTTGACATGAGAGAAAAACCTTGAAGGAAAAGCCCAAAGAGGGCAATTTGCCAACAAAGATGCTAAGTCCTAATAGTGTGAATTGTGAGATCCCACATCGATTGAAGGAGAAACGAAGCATTCTTGATAGGGTGTGAAAGCCTCCTCTAACATATACGTTTTAAAATCTTGAAGAAAAGTCGAATGAGAACAATATTTGGTGGGGGTAGACTTTGGGTATTACATTACTCCCACCTTTGAATAAGTCAACTAACTGGAATGAAGTCGATCCATACCATATATATTAGGAAGAAAGTTGAATGGTTGTGGAGTCATAGTTCATGTGAATGCATAGGCTTAAAATGCAAGAGTCCCAACCAAAGTTTTGGTAGTGGCCTTAACTACATTCATACATTTCTTACATATGTGAATGCCTTCAAAGTCCTTCCCTTTTCCCCCCTTTTGTTGACCTCTTCTTCCGGTCTCCCCCAATATTAAACTTTAATAACTTTAAATTTTGTATTTTTTTAAAAAGAAAGGAGAAAATATTAAGTTAAAATAAAAAAAAAATGGAATTAGAAATAGCCGGTAATCTCGGAAAGCTGCCCCCATAATCCCAGTTGACTGTTCCCACTCTCCTTTTATTTTTATTTTTCTTTTTTTAAATAACGCCAAATAAAATCAAATTACACAATTTAGCACTTCCACCGTTGATTGCGGTTCTAAACCTTTAATCATCAATACATATTAAATTAACATCTAAAATAAATTTTAAAAAATTAACATTAATTATAATATTAAATATTTTTAATATTTTTAAAAGTTTGATTTGATTAACTAAACTAAACTTTCTATTTTTTAAAAATTAAATCAAGCTCAAAAACTAAACTTGAATTTATTTTGTCGGTGGTGGTATTTAAGAAAAAAAAATATAAATATAAAAAATATATAAAAGCAGGTTTATGGGGTATATTTAAAAAGATGATTAGTTGGGGGTGGATCTCCTTTGAAATATGAGCGTGAGTTTTCCACCAAACCCGCTTATTACACTCCACTTTTCATGCCCTAATTTTTGGGGATTTAAGTGTGCTGCCTTTTTCTTTTTCAAAAAATAAATCCATTATTTTTCCTTCTTATATTACATTTCACTTACATTAATATATTAATAATAATTAAAGAGGCGTTTGATTACATATCTTACTAAATACTATTTCCTTACTTTTAAACTTAGATTACAATCTTGAGTTAGTTGAGATTTCTTAGACAATAGTGAATCTATGGTGATTAGTGGTTGTTGCATTAATGTTTCTTTAATCTCTATTTATACTATAAGATATATTGTATTTTTTTATATATATAATATTTATATGATTCACATTTTTATTGTAGCATAAAAATGTTTACCAAATATTAAAAAAATACAATTTCTTTGAGAAAAAAAAAAAAAAGACATACAAATCAAAATTCTTTTGTTTCATTTAATGATTTTCCAGCACGACATTTTTCATAAAGAAAATAAAATAAATAAAGATTTGCCATATTTGTCAAAATCACATGATATGTCCCAAAATATTTGCTTGGTACGTGTCCGTCAGATAAATTAGCTCACCTCTCTGTCACCGTATCTCTGGTTCTCTTCAACTTCCTCCCTATTTCCTCTATTCATCCCATTAATTATTTATTTATTTATTGTCCTTCTAATTTTGAATTGAAAGCGTGGAAATTCTCCATGCCCATTTCCTAGTTATTTCTCATTAAAAAAAAATAATAATAATAACATTTTAAAATTCTAAATTACATTATTTTTAATTGAAATTTGAAAATTAAGTGAGGCCAAAATGGAGAATTAAATAGAGAATGGATTGGGCAAATTTTGTGCGACTTTTTGACTCCTCGACGCCTAATGCACTTTACTCATTCTAATTGCGGTGGCTCTTTAAAGAAAGACCCATCCTCCCAACAAATTATTATTATTATTATTATTATTATTATTATTATTAATTAACAATGTATAAAAGGAAAATAAATATTTAATTTTTAATAAATAATAATCTAACCAAGTTATAAATTCCTTTTTCTTTAATATTTTCACAGCTACACCGCTCGTCCTGGCAACAGACACCCACACGACGTGGTTCCTTTCGCAACGGGTTACGTTCATATGAGCATTAAAAAAAAATTAAAATAAATAAATAAATAATCTGATTTTTCAAATATTATTTAATTCAGTCGCATTTATGGCTCTCCCTCACTCTCCACTCCATATATACTCCTTCACTTCCCCTTCTTCTCTTCCAAATCCTTCTCTTTCCTCTCCAATTTACCTGGTGATTCATTAATCAATGCACCTAATTCACTGATTCTTAACCCATTCAAGTAACTAAAAAGAACAATGGCGAGCCTAATTTCCATGGCTCCCCTGTTCCTCCTCTGTTTCTTCCCCTGCGCCTTCGCCGCCCACGACTACGGCTCCGCCCTAACCAAGAGCCTTCTCTTCTTCGAAGCTCAGAGATCCGGAGTCCTACCCCGTAACCAGCGCGTCACGTGGCGGTCCCATTCCGGTCTCCAAGATGGCAAAGCCAGTGGAGTGAGTTTTCCACTCTGTTTTTTTGGTTCCTCCTCTAATGGGAATGTTGTTTTAATGGTGACGGAATTTCCTTTTGCAGGTGGACTTGGTGGGAGGGTACTACGACGCTGGCGACAATGTCAAATTTGGACTGCCAATGGCTTTCACTGTCACCATGATGAGTTGGAGCATTTTGGAATACAAGGCCCAATTGGCGGGCAGTGGCGAGCTTGGCCACGCCATGGATGCTGTCAAGTGGGGCACTGATTACTTCATCAAGGCTCACCCTGAACCCAATGTTTTATACGGCGAGGTGATAATTTTCTCCTTTACTCAATATGGTGTGACTTGAAGGCGTGGTGTTAATGTTTGTGGATTTTTGTTTCAAAGGTTGGAGATGGGAACACTGACCACTACTGCTGGCAGCGTCCCGAGGATATGACGACCGACCGCCGGGCTTACCGGCTTGACCCGAGTAACCCCGGGTCGGATCTTGCCGGAGAAACTGCTGCCGCCATGGCCGCCGCTTCTCTCGTCTTTCGCTCTTCTAACCCCGCTTATGCTAACAAGCTTCTCTCCCATGCCTACCAGGTAAGATGAGGGCTCTATTTTCAATTATAATAATGGAATGTTAATTGAAAATAATTATAATAATTAAGAAAAATTCAAATTTCAACTCCGCACGTGGAAAAGCGAAAGTACGATACGACGTGGTTTTGGTTTTATTCCAATTAGTTTAAAATGTTCGGCGCATATTTAGGATCATGGTTAGAAACCGTACACGTAGTTTTAAATAATGCGATTCCGTGATGACAACCGTTCATTTCACATGATCCAAGAAAGACGCGCGAAGCTTACGATAGTCGTGGAAGTACGGTGTCGGTGGCACTGTGTGTTTTACCTTAATGCCCTCACTATTTATTTTTTTTATTACAATTCTACCCTTGGATTAAAATAAAAATAACCTTGTTCTGTCTCATTTCCATTTTCAGCTGTTCGATTTTGCGAACAAATACAGGGGCAAATATGACAGTAGTATTACAGTGGCCCAGAAGTACTACCGATCTGTCAGTGGATACAATGTACGTGATTATTCCTCTTCTCTTATTTTTATTGGGCTTGGGCTTGGGCCCAAACGAACAATTTTGATTGAATAAAATTTTACAGGACGAGTTACTATGGGCGGCGGCATGGCTGTACCAAGCAAGCAACAACCAATACTACCTGAAATACCTCGCCGACAACGGCGATTCCATGGGTGGCACCGGCTGGAGCATGACGGAGTTCAGTTGGGACGTCAAATACGCCGGAGTCCAAACCCTAGTCGCCAAAGTAAAACCCTAATTTCTCCAAATTTCCCCAAAATTTCCCCCCTTTCTTCCCCTATCTAATCCTCTGGTGTCCTTCCTCCTCTCGCAGTTCCTCATGCAGGGCAAGGCCGGCGCCTACGCTCCAGTTTTCCGGCGATACCAGGAGAAAGCCGAGGCATTCCTTTGTTCGTGTTTAAGAAAAGGGAATCGGAATGTTCAGGTTACCCCCGGGGGTCTCATTTTCCGGCAAAGATGGAACAATATGCAGTTTGTCACCACCGCCTCCTTCATCGCCACCGTCTATTCTGATTACCTGACCTCGTCCCGTGGTTCCTTGAAGTGCGCCGCCGGCTATGTCCGACCCTCTGAATTACTCACCTTCGCTAAATCTCAGGTATGTTCTTTTTTTTTTTTTTCTTTTTTTTTTCCCTCTGAAATTTGTTTGTTTAAAAACAGAGATTTGAATTTTAAATTTTCCAAAATGTATGAATGAATTGAGCAGGTGGATTACATTCTTGGCGACAATCCAAGAGCCACGAGCTACATGGTGGGATACGGCAACAATTTCCCCCGCCGCGTCCACCACCGTGGATCCTCCATCGTCTCCTACAAAATCAGCTCCAAATTCATCGCCTGCAGAGAAGGTTACGCTACTTGGTTCAGCAAGAAATCCGGCGACCCGAATGTCCTCACCGGCGCCCTCGTCGGCGGCCCCGACGCCTACGACAACTTCGCGGACGAACGTGACAACTATGAACAAACAGAGCCTGCCACTTACAACAACGCTCCTCTTCTCGGCGTGTTAGCGAGATTCCACGGCGGGCATTCCGGCTTCAATCAGCTCCTTCCAGTAGCCGTTCCGCTTCCACCGGCACCAAAAAGAAACCCAAATCCTGGTTCTTCTTCTTCTTCTTCTTCAAGCCCGGTTGTGATTTTACAAAGGGTAACGAGTTCATGGAAGGACAAGGGAAGAATTTACTACAGATATTCCACGGTTATCACAAACAAATCGTGGAAAACAGTGAGAAATCTTGAGCTTTCGATTTCGAAGCTGTATGGGCCGTTATGGGGGCTGACGAATTCTGGGAAATCGTACACCTTCCCGAAATGGGTGAATTCTCTGGGCCCTCAGAAGAGCTTGGAGTTTGTGTATATTCACTCTGCTTCTGAAGCGAATGTGTCTGTTTTGCGCTATGATTTGGGCTGAGGATGAGGAGTGGTGGGATTTGATCCAACTGTGCAGATTATAAGATTGAGTTTGGTGTTTTTGGAAGGAAAGGAACTTTACTTTTTTTTTTTTTACTTGGTGTTTATGCAACTCAAAGAATGAGGGTATATTTGTACTTTCCTTGTAATTGAGTTAGGGTTGTAGATCTCTCTTCTTCTTCCCTCTTTTTTTTTTTTTTTTTTTTTTTTTTTTTTTTT